GGACCAGGCTATGACACACTGCACTGGGAGAACTGGCTGCCCTTGACCCTTGACTCTTGGTGGCTCTGCTGCTGGGTGTGGGAAAGGGGCTGAGCCAGCCCTCCACGGATGCTCCAGCAATCCTAGGTCACTGTGGCCTGGGTCACCCTCCCCAGCTGGCAGCTCTTGGCTCTTCTCGGGGTCTAACAGGAAATGGTGAGCAGGGGAGCAAAGCTCTAAATCAGGCCTCCCCCCAACTGAGTGCCAGCCCTGCTCCTCTTGTGGCAGACAGTCCAGCACTTTCTGAGGAGGCACCAGGGCCCTGACACCCCTTCACTAACCCCATGTTGAGGGCAGGTGGCAAAGCTCTAAATCAGGCCTCCCCCCAACTGAGTGCCAGCCCTGCTCCTCTTGTGGCAGACAGCCCAGCACTTTCTGAGGAGGCACCAGGGCCCTGACACCCCTTCACTAACCCCATGTTGAGGGCAGGTGGCGGGGGCTCACCCCCATTGCCCACAGCCCCAACTCAGAGACGGGAAATTGGTACAGGACAGGTGAGCCTGTGTGCAACAGGCCTCAGGGCTAAGGACACAGGCAGTGCCACCCTGATGGCCTCCTCCCCCCAGCCCTGGGGACAGCCCCCTGAAACCTGTGATCCCATGAAGAGAGAGAGAGCTGGCAACCAGGAACACCAGGCCCTATGTCATCCCTCTAAGTCCAGGCAGCCAGGGCCCGCGTGTGTCCGACAGGGCATGGAGACGATGCCGGGCCAGAAAAGACCATGGAGAGAGGGAGCGTGGAGATTGCCAGCCCGTGGACCCCTGCCTGGGGAGGGAGGACAGCTGCGCAGGCACAGGCCAGGGGCAGGAGGGCAGGAGTGGTCTCCACTTGTTCTGTGGTCCCCAGTGAGGGAGGGAGGACAGTCCCCCCATCTGTGATGCTTAGGGAAACAAGACAGAGTGGGACTGAGAGTGCTTGATGGGCGACTCTTGGGGAAGCGTCTCAGGGTCGAACGCAGCTTCCCTGGGGATACTGGGACACGTGGGCCAAAGGGGATCTCACTGGTGTGGAAGAGATTCGCTCCTGGCCACGAGGTGCCAGGTGAAGCCCCCAGGAGCCTCCACATGGTGCCAAGAGGGTGGTCCCAGAGCAGCATGTGTGGAGCTGGTGCTACGACCGAGGTTCCTCTGTGGGGTGGACCCACGGCAGCCACAGGCTTCATTTGGGGTCTGGGTCTCTGGCCCAGGGGCCTATTTGCTTCTCCTCCATGTCTCGACCTAAGTCTCGGGTCGACTGGTCATGAAAGAGGTTTCGGGGCTGTGTACTCACCACGTGGCCCTGGAGGGGTTGTACCGACTCTCCCCAGTTTAGGGTCAAGACCCAGCATGCAGCCCTCAAAGGGTTCTGAGACGCGCAGCAGGGGACCCACACCCCACCCCGGGGCCTTACAGAGGCAGGTCTCTGATGGTTTTCCCGAAGTCCGGGCTGCTTGCCACCTTTGGGCCACCGTCTTTCAACTGGTGCGTTTCCGATGCTCTCATGACCACGTAGCGCTGGGAGCCTGCGAGGACAGAGTAGGTGGAAGCCCTGTCCTGACGTCCCACCCTCCTGGGTTTGGGGATGGAGGGTGCAGGAAACTGTGTGGGGACACATGGCGTGATGGCTGGAGGTGTTGGAGGCCACCGTGGGACCAGCGGGAGGGAGAGGTGAAGGGGCCCACCTGGTCGGGGCAGACAGCACCCACCTGGCAGCTGCCGAGGATAGCCGAGGAGGGGGATGGCGATGAGGAAGGCGGCCACCCCGGCGCCCAGGAAGCCGATCCACCAGGCACCGACCCACAGCGGGCTCTCGGTGGTCAGCTCCGTCCTGTCGGAAGAGGCAGCGGCACCTGGGTCAGCATTCGGCCCAAGCACATCTTCCACGGTACACACACACACTGGGTGACCATCTGGCTCCTCTGAGCAGACCTCTGGGTCCCTCTGCACACTGGTTAACACAGGCCCACAGAACTGCTGGCCAGTGGTCCCACCCCCTCCTTGCAGACTAAAGCAAACCCCAACTATGGCTTGGCCATCCCCTGGACAGATGGCTCCATGCCCTGACCTGCATACTCGGAGACCTGGGGAGGCAGCCTGCCCAGGTCTGTGATGCTTAGGGAAACACATCCGTGTGGTCTCCTCAGACCGAGACCACAGCAGGGTTGGGAGTCTAGGAGGGACAAGCTATCCAAGTAACAGCAGGGTCAGGCATCCCTCCCACACCAGTGCGGAGGGTGACAGTGCAGAGGGTGACAGGTGGCATCTCTGGCGCCTCGTGAGGCTCAGGGAATGGCGGGCTCAGCTCGAGCTGGCTGGGAGCTCCCTACAGAGGAACGATTATAGGGTGTGACTGCAACCTTCTCACAAGCTCTCTTCCAAATTGAGAGGTTAAGTGAGGAAGAGCCGTTGGGTTGCACGGCCACAGAGAATGGTGGAACCCCAGCCAAGCTCTGGGCTCTGGGCACACGCCATCGCAGGGAGAAGGGAGAGGGAAGGCAGAGAGGGATGGAAGGGATGCAGGAGCTCAACACCCAGCAAGGCAACAGACGGCTGCAGCAGCTCCTGCTTTATTCTGACACTGAAATGCAACAGCTCCCACCAGGATGGGACCTCATTTGCGTCCCCCCTTGCACAAAGAGGGCCAGATCCTGGAGTCAGAGGGGGCGCAGAGCATGAGCAAAGTGCACAGATATGCACACCTGGCCCCAGATTGCCAACCCAGGTCAGAGGTGGATTTTGTAAGATGGCAGAGGCGCCATCTGTAAAAACAGGCCCAAGGAGCAGCAGTGTCCAAGGCACGCCTTAGGACAGTCAGGAGAACTCAGCAGGAGCAGACCCTCCACGTGAAGGGCAGGAGACAGAGCCACCCCCAGAGCCCTGCCCAGTCAGCGGTCAGCAAAGACGCACTACCTTCTTCTCTTCTCTGTCTCTCTCTGTGCTTCTGTCTCTCCTTGTGTCTCTGTGTGTGTGTCTCTCTCTCTCTGTCTCGCCCTGTCTCTCCTGTGTGTCTCTCTCTCCCTCCCTCTTGCTTTCTCACTTTCCTGCTTGAATTTACAAAAACAAGCATTATAAAAAAAAGACAGAAAAAAATGAAAGAATCTCATGTGGGCAGCAGGAAAAGCTGCCATCAGTTCCACAAGGGCATTAGAGAAATGTAGCCAGGGCTCGCCTGGCTTCAGAAGTGCTTGGGCCTGGGGCTGCCATCCGTCTGCCTGGCCCCCTCCCCAGGCCAGGATCTCAAAGCCACCCACAGACCCCTGAATCAGCCAAAATCAAGGCCAGCCCTGGACTTTGTCCTGCTCGGTAGGGCCAAGAACTCCCACCATAGCTGCTCAGTGAGGTCCACCTCTCAGGGCCGTGGGGCCCTGCTGCTGCACAAGCACTCGGCGATCCCCATGTGGGCACAGCTGCTGGGACAGGCAGGGTGCACCCGAGGCCACTTACCGTCGACCCATTTCCGTGAAGATGTTCAGCAGGGTGCCTCCAATCAGGTAGCCGGCTGCAGGGCCCAGGATAGCCGCGGTGTAAAAGACAGCTGCAGAGAATCAGAGGTGTTGGGGCCCACATGCCACCCTGGGGGCCATGTGGGACCATGCCAGGCCTACCTCCTAAGAGAAGCCCCCATAAACACATGTCTGCCCCCCAACTGTGGACCCCTTGAAGTCCGGGTCTGCCTGTGCAGCCTCCCCAGGGCCTGACATCTGGTAGGTGTCGACGTTTAAAAATTTCCCCCAAAGCCAACTGTGGATGTCACCTGGACTCTTTCCCCCAAGACAGAGCAAAGATCCTCACACCCAGTTTGCAGGGTGTGGGCATCTAAGTAGCACCCCAGACCTTCCAGAGAGAAACAAGGGACCCGCGGGTGGGAAAAGGGCCCCTCACTCATGTCCCTTAGATCAGGATTTGGAAGGGCCAGTGTGGCAGTAGGACCTCTGGCTGGAGTGGTGTGACCCCCAAACTCCTTTGGTTCCTGGGACACAGCTGTCAGGTGATTGAGATGATCGATTCCAGGTGGACATTGGGAAGCTGAGCGCATAACCAGAATCCAGCCAGGCCACTGAAGTGCCAACCCGCTGCTTTCTGTGACCCTTTCAAGGTGCCTTTCCAGGAGAGCCAAGCCACAGCGGAGGGACATGGAGAAGCAGGTGGTGGGTGGCTCAAGGGCCCTGTCCCTCCTTGCTTATCTGCACACAAAACTCTCCTTTCCAGGTAAACGTGAGGGTCTTGGCAGAAGCCTGAGGCTCTGTAGCTGGCTGACCCAGGCACCACCCTGTGCTCATGACCCGGGCCCCAGAGCCCCACAAGGTGGCTGAGACTGTGTGGGGGGGTTTTGCTGAGGTTCCTGGGCACGGTGGCCTGAGCCCTTAGTGGGGGCTTCATAAGAAAGACAGCATTGCCTCAGTCACCTTTGGTGCACAGTTAAGCCACCACGCACCTGCGATCTCATGCAGGAACACCTGGGCCAGGTGAACAGGGGGTGCACAGAAAGGCTGGGGACGGGGCCAGGCTCCGAGTAGGCTTAGCACTGGCCATTTTCACTCATGCTTCCACCCCTGGCCACCCACACTCGCTCTTCCCTGCCAGCCCCACTCACCGATGTAGACAGGCGAGTAGCTGGACTTGACGTTCTCATCCAGGTAGGTGACACCCAGCGTGTAGAGTGGCGTGGCGCCGACGCCATGCAGGAACTGGCCCAGCATGAAGACCAGCCGGTAGCTGGACAGGCCTGAGCTGCTGTCTGCACACGCCATGCTCCGGTTAGCTGGGCACGTCCCGACCCCCTGGTCGGCCTCCACCTCATAGCGGCCGGCGGTGAAGTGAGG